TTTACATGCTCAAGTGCGGGCAAACATCTATCTATCTATCTATCTATCTATCTATCTATCTATCTATCTATCTATCTAAGTCTTTTCATAAGTCTTTTCATATCTATCTATCTATCTATCTATCTATCTATCTATCTATCTATCTATCTCTTTTACACACACACACACACACATATATCTGTTATACATTATCCACAGCAGTAGGGGAGGTCTGGGGTCATCAGCACCCCCACAAGATTTTCCTGAAACTGTGAAAGAAACAGAAAATTAAATTTATCTTTTTGCTCTCAATCTTTGACAATGGTATTCACATGAACTGTTATGATTTGCCTGAAATTGTTACTGTAATTAATTTTCGAAATAAATAAGAAAATTTTTTTTCCTGAAAAACATTAGCGTCTGAAACTTTATATAAGTTTTATATGTGCGAAAAATAAGTCTATCAGTCTCATTCCAAGAAATATGTACAAGCAAAAGAAAAAAAAATGAAAAGAAAAGGTAAAAAATTAAAATCAAAACTAAATGATGCTTACTGCAGGATAATACAGGGTGCGATGGATAAATTGTCGCAATTTTATATTTTTAATTTCGCGCATGCGCGTTGTTTGTTTCTGATTTTGTCGACTGCAGAGTATGGTAGGGTCAGTTGGGCACCATGACGCAATTCACTCCGTCAGAAATTTTGAAACGGCATGCTGTACTGCTTGGCATTTGCGCCGGAAACTTCAATAAAAACATTTCAGAGTGTTTGGGTGTCAATCTGAGGACAGTGCAGAGGATTCGGAAAGAGTTGGGTTATATATTTAGTCAACATCATGTTTGGAGTGATCACTAGTGATGGCGTCGTTATGCCTCCATACACCTTCCCACAAGGCCTACATCAAGTGCCTTGAAGAGGTAGTGCTGTTCTGAGTCAAGTGGTTGGCTGCTAGAAAACCTTATGACTGGCAATAGGATGCTGCACCATGCTACACAAGCAGGAGAATCCAGTCATGGATGTCAGAGAATTTCTGTGACCATATCAGCCCTTACATATGGCCACCTAACTCTCCAGACTGCAACCCTCTTGATTATTATGTGTGAGGTTTAGTTGAGCGAGAGACCAACAAAAACTCCGTGTAACACCAAAGATGAACTGAAAGCAAGGATTATGGCAGCATTCACCAACTTAAACTAGGAGACAGTCCAGAAGAGTTACAGGAGATTCTGAAGTCGTCTGGAGGCCGTGGTTGAAGCCAATGGCAATTTTATTGAATAAATTTACTTTTTAGTATTTCAAGATATTTTGTGTAATTTTGGTATATATATCTGTTAAAATGAATTGTCAGTGTTATTTTCATTTCGCGTAATTTAGACGACAATTTATCCATCGCACCAGAAATCTTTAAATCCTATCTGACTTAGCCCCCCTCCACACATTTAACATCTGATTTGCACCCAGTACTACACTTTTAACATCAGACTTAGCACCCCCTCCACACTTTTAACATCAGACTTAGCTCCCCCCCCTCCTCCACGCTTTTAACATCTGACTTAGCCCCCCTCCGGCATTTTATTTTTGTGGCGCCGTGTCTTGTATTTCTCGGTGTCGAAATCACTGTGAAATAAGTTTTGATAAATGACCTTGCGAAGGTTATATTTTTCATCAGCCCATCCTAATAATTTTTTTATTTTTTTAAATGTCTCCTTGAAATGGGAGCGCCCTCGATGTCGGGAAATGTAACAATTACATTTTGTAATTTTCAGTAATACAACAAACAATACAAAAAATATTTTTGTTATCTACAGTGAGTGATCAGGGTAAACAAATGCCTTTAAAATGCTGCTGTTGTTACTACTACTACTACAATTAAATTTATTAATCGTTATAGTATTATAGGCGTAAAAAGGTAATAGTAGTACCCATATTTATTAGAGTACTTGGACTAGTTCCGATGAGATTTCGAAGGATTGTAAATATTAGAAGGATTGTAAGTCTGACGAAGACTAAAAATATAGGAAATAATAATAATAATAATAATAATAATAATAATAATAATTGAGCAGTACCTTCCCTCAGCTGGCACAAAAAGAATACAGACGACATTACCAAAAAGTATCCGTCCAAAACCTTTGGGAAGTATGCGGAAGTATGGTCCCGAGTGCACAGAAAAGTGGGACAAACATTTATCACTGTCAGTCAGTAGCCGAGAATGGGAAAGTGAAGCTCATGTGGGATACGATTATCATGACTGACAAGCGCTGGGAGAGAAATCATCCTGACATTACACTTGTGCACAAGAGAAGCCATGAATGGATCTTGATAAACGTTGCGGTATCTTGGGATATGAGCACCGTGAAGGTGGAAACGGGTGGAAATACAGAGATTAGTATCTCTGACAGGGCCGCTCAGAGAAATACACCAAACAGCGGCCTAAGTAGTCCCGGTTGTGTTTGGAGCACCCGGAATTATTTTCAGGAATCTTTCTTTTCTCGCAGGACGCCATGGGGATACCTGACCTTATTGGAAGTGCGCATATGTCAGACTTGCTCGGAACAGCTCATGTTCTGAGGAAAGAGCCATGTCTCTAAGCAGCGGGTATGAATCCACCTTTTCTCCCCCAGCTATGGGTAATTAGTAAAACTTGTATCACTAAACAATTATTATCCTCTTACCCAGGAACTATTTTTGCAAATCTAAAAAAATATTTCTGGCTTTAAATAACCTAGAAAGGGTTGCGATACCGTAAAAAACGAATCCATCTTTTCTTTCTAAAATATCCTTTTACTTTCCCTATATTGATAATAAAAAAAAAACTTATTGTCTTCCTTCGGGGCAGTAATTATGTCTGTCCTTCTTGCAGGAGATCCTTACTCTTCAGAAGAAAGACAAGCAATTATTATTATTATTATTATTGTTGCAAAAAGAAAAAAAAGAGAAGGGACGATGTCTGTAGTGTTTCTATCGATTTTATTCAATAATATTTTCTGAAAATTGCCTAATTTCTTGTGTCATGAACTATCCACTATCCGCTAAAGAAATTTCGAGAAATTTTAGTTGCGTGTGAAATTGAAAATTCATAGAATTCCTATAATGTTTTCTTAAAAAAATCAATTTAAAGAATTACAATTTATTCCTTTTAATTTAATATATTTTTAATATGGGGTATTCGATTAAGCTAATTGGGTAAGATTACGTGGAAAGGATTGTTTGATTAATTGATTTGTTTTTTACGGTTTATCAACCTTTTGTAGGTTATTTAAAGCCGAAACATATTTTGGGATATTAAAACTTAAAAATTTAGTAAGTGAATATTGTATTAATTTCTTGGAGATAATAATGATTTTCGAATATAAGTCTTACTATTTTAAACCATAGAGGGGAAATGGAAGAGATAGGTTCATGCCTTTCGCCAAGGGTAAGTGAATGCAATGAACCTGACTGGAATTCAAACTCAGATTTCCGACTTCTCATTCTCAGTTGTTATTCATTAAATTACTCGCACATCCAAGCTTAACTTCAACGTGATATGGCCGTAAGCCAGGCGGAAAGGAGAGCTCCCGAATATAGGTGGAGGTAAAATGAAAAAAAAAAGAAAAGAAAAGTTTAGACCAGTGGTTCTCAACCTTTTTTTTTACCCATGGACCCCTTTCCCCTTCTTTTTATCTTGGTGGACCCCTTCATAGCTATTGGACATAAGAACAATTTTCTATTCTTCACTAATATAAATTTTAAGGTTTTAATTATCAAAGAAATAGTATACGATTAAGCTTTATTTTTAAATGAAATCTAATTTAATACAAATAAAATATTCTACTATAATTATAATAATAATTATTATTACTATTTTTAATTAACACAACAATTGAGTTTTGCCTGTGGACCCCCGGAAATATTACATGGACCCCTAGGGTCCATGTAGACCCCGGTTGAGAACCACTGGTTTAGACAGATTTAATGGCAGGTTGAAAGAATAAAAAGAGAATGAAAGAAAGGGGAAATGAGCGACACACAGACACACACAAGGATAGAAAGCGAAAGAGAGAGGAGAGAGAGAGAGAGGAGAGAGAGAGGAGAGAGAGAGAAAGAAAGAAAGAAAGAAAGAAAGAGAAAGAGGAGAGAGAGAAAGAGAGTGAAAGAGGAGAGAGAGAGAAAGAGGAGAGAGAGAAAGAGGAGAGAGAGAAAGAGAGTGAAAGAGCAGAGAGAGAAAGAGGAAAGAGAAAAAGAAAGAGGAGAGAGACAGAAAGAGAGAGAGAGAAATAAAAAGAGGAGAGAGAGAGAAAGAGAGTGAAAGAGGAGAGAGAGAAAGAAAGAGAAAGAGGAGAGAGAGAAAGTGGAGAGAGAGAAAGTGAGAGAAAGAAAGAGGAGAGAGAAAGAGGGAGTAAGAAAGAGAAAAAGGAGAGAAAGAGAGAGAAAGAGGAGAGAGAGAAAAAGAGGAGAGAGTGAGAAAGAAAGAGAAAGAGAAGAGAGAGAAAGAAAGAGAAAGAGGAGAGAGAGAAAGAGAGAGAAATAAAGAGAAAGAGGAGAGAGAGAAAGAGAGAGAAAGAGGAGAGAGAGAGAGAAAGAAAGAGAAAGAGGAGAGAGAGAAAGTGGAGAGAGAGAAAGAAAGAGAAAGAGGAGAGAGAGAAAGAGAGAGAAAGTGGAGAGAGAGAAAGTGAGAGAAAGAGAGAGAAAGAAAGAGAAAAAGGAGAGAGAGAGAAAGAGAGAGAAAGAGGAGAGAGGGAGTAAGAAAGAGAAAAAGGAGAGAGAGAAAGAAAGAGAAACAGGAGAGAGAGAGAAAGAGAGAGAAAGAAAGATTGCGTGAGCGAGAGAGTTTGACTGTTTTAGAAACAAGAAGGCATAACCATGGGAAATGTATGAATCCATCTCTTCGAATCCCCACAAATATGGGTTAAATAGTAGAGCAGATGATCTTTTCACCCTTGGTTGGTAACCAGTATAGGTGAAAGACAATTCTATGCAGCTATTGTGGAATTCACAATGACTCTATGATCCCGATAATCTGACAATAGTAAAATCTATGATGGGATTGTTATCTTTATTAATGGCCTTTTGTCGCTCCAGCCAGGGAAATGAAAGTGATTATTTGAGATTGGTTCGCTAAAATATTTCTTCATTCTTTTCTCTTTCAACAAGTTGCCTGCAATATTCTTTTCTTATTTTCTCCTTCATTTGGGGTACGCTGTATTCCATCTCCTTCGCTAATTCCTAGGTACTTATAAGCTTCATCTTGTTCCTTAATCTTTGAGACAAAACCTAGATCTACTGAGTGTGTTTCTGTAATTCTCCCTTTCTTGAAAGTTACTTTTGCACATTTATCTAATCCGAAATCCATACCTATGTCGTCACTGAAACATTTTACAATATTGAGGAGACCCTTCAACTCATTGCCGTCTTTGGCAAAGAATTTGAGATCATCCAAGTAGAATAGGTGATTAAACACTTTCTTCTTTTACTTTGTATCCATAGCTATTACTGTTTAGTTCATGCGAAAGGGAGATTAAGGACAGACAGAATAGAAGGGGCGACAGGGAATCTCTTTGAAAGACTCATCGTCGGATATTCTAACAATTGGAAATAGAGGTACCTTTGGTGTGATTTAGGGTATCATGTGGTTTGCCACAGTTCAATGCTATATTTTAAGGAAATTTACTATCACTGGGGAGACTTTGTACATTTCCGAAAACTTAAGGATCCAAGACTGTTGCCCTGTATCAGAGGCTTTACCGTAATCTATCTATCTATCTATCTATCTATCTATCTATCTATCTATCTATCTATCTAATCTCAGCCTGTTCATTTCTATCTATCTATCTATCTATCTATCTATCTATCTATCTATCTATCTATCCATCCATCTATCTAATCTCAGCCTGTTCATTTCTATCTATCTATCTATCTATCTCCATCTATCCATCCATCTATCCATCTATCTATCCATCCAATCTCAGTCTGTTCATATCCATCTATCCATCTATCCATCTATCCATCCATCTATCTATCTAATCTCAGTCTGTTCATTTCATCTATCTATCCATCCATCTATCTATCCATCCATCTATCTATCCATCTATTCTCAGCCTGTTCATTTCATCCATCCATCTATCTATCCATCCATCTATCTATCCTCATCTGTTCATTCTATCTATCTATCCATCCATCTCTGTTCATTTCACATCTATCCATCTATCCATCTAATCTCATCTGTTCATCCATCTATCTATCTATCTATCTATCTATCTCATCTATCTATCTATCTATCTATCTATCTATCTCAGTCTATTCATTATCTATCTATCTATCTATCTCATCCATTCATCCATCTATCTATCTATCTATCTCTATCTATTCATTATCCATCTATCTATCTATTTTCCATCAGTCCATTCATTATCCATCTATCTATCTATCTCAGTCTATCTATCTATCTATCTATCTATCTATCTATCTCATCTATTCATTATCTATCTATCTATCTGATCTATTCATCTATCTATCTATCTATCTATCTATCTATCTAATCTGAGTCTGTTCATTTCTATCTATCTATCTATCTATCTATCTATCTAATCTCAGTCTGTTCATATCTATCTATCTATCTATCTATCTATCTATCTATCTATCTATCTATCTATCTATCTATCTATCTCAGTCTATTCATTATCTATCTATCTATTTATCTATCTATCTATCTATCTATATATCTATCTATCTATCTAATCTCAGTCTATTCATTATCTATCTATCTATCTATCTATCTATCTATCTATCTATCTATCTATCTATCTATTATTTACCACGGTATTTGTTTTCAACTTAACATTTTGCATTCTGGATGTTTTCTATCAAGTTGCACAGTGTTCAACTTTCGTAAAATATATGCCATGCTAAGCAACGCATGCGTTTGAAACAATGTGATACTGCATTTTATTCTAATGTAGGACTTTAAGTTCGGTGGTATAAACACCATCACACTCCAATGATAATTTGAACAATAGAGTCATGAGCATTGTGGCAACATAAATCCAGTTTTCGCGACATTTCTTGACCATACCAATTTCATTGATCACTTTTATTATGATCCTTAGGATCGTCTACATCGATGAAGAGGTATTATTTTCTTGTTTCTTTGTCAATGACGATGATGTCTGGTTTAGTAGCCTTAAGGATGCAGTCTGTTTTGGATATGGATTTTTAACTTGGTCGTTTTCGATCACCTTCCCTGGCTTGTGGCGGTACGATTTCTCATTGACTTCAAGTCCATACTTTCTACATAAGCACCAATGAAGATGAGAGCCGACTTTGTCATGGTAGAGCTCGTATTCTTCCCGAGCAACAAGCGCTGATGATGTGGGTAACATTTTTCACCTCCTTGTCACACATCCTGCACTTCTCCGAATCCAATTGGCGGTAGATATTCTTCAAGAGAGAATTAGTATCCAAGTTTTTTTTGTATTATTATTGGGTTTTTATGATTTCCCTCTTTTTTCTTGGTTTTCTTTTCTACATTTTGTTTTACTTTCCTTTTCATCATCTTCTCCGTCCTCCAGATCCTCCTCCTCCTCCTTGTTCTTCCTCTTCCTTCTTATTATTCCTCCTCCTCATTCTTCTCTTTCTTCCTCCGACCCTCCGCCTTCTTCCTCCCCTTTCTCCACTTCTCCAGTTCATATTCCTCCCCTTCCTCTTCATTCTTCTTTGTCTTCTTACGCCCCTCCTCTTTCTCCCCCCCTTCTTCCTCCTCCACTTCCTCCACCGCCTCCACATTCTTCTTCTTATTATTATTATTATTCTTCGTCTTCTTCTTCCTCCTCTACTTCCTCCACCTCCTCCCCATTCTTCTTCTTCTTCTTCTTCTTCTTCTTCTTACATTCATTGTTTGTCTTGTTTATCTACTACCGTCTTTTTTTTTAAACCTCGTCTTATTATCGTCCTTGCTATTGTTTCAGAGAACCTGCCACTGGATTGTCAAGACGTCCGGAACCAAAGCCAAGAAGCCACTATTGAGAGTGGTCTTTACTTAGTACAAGTTCCAGGTCTCCTTAAAAGACGTATCTATTGTAACTTTACCGAACAAGAGACGTGGACTACCATCTCTAGACGTATCTACGAAGAAGACATTTTCAACAGGAGCTGGGCCGAGTATAAAAATGGCTTCGGAAAAGCAAACGGGGATTATTGGATTGGCAACGAAATGCTTTACAGGTTAACCAATACCTTCAACTATTCCCTTCGTGTCAGTATGACGGGTTTCCGTGGTAAATTTTTCTCGTCTTATAAAAGCTTTAAAATCGAGAACGAGATGTCTCTGTATCGTCTTCAGCTGGGTGACTACGACAATGAGATTAGCAATGGCGGTGATAGCTTCTTTCCGATGTCTACCTGTAACAAGAACGGATTTAAAAATGCTTCCTTCTCTACGTACGATGTAGGCATTTCTAAGAACTGTTCGAAGACATTGTCAGGTGGTTGGTGGTTTACCGATTGTGGTTGCTCAAATCTAAACGGTAAATACGTGCTCGGTGGTAGCGTGCCGACCAATGGTCCAAACATTGGTCTTTACTGGGACAGCATTTATTTCGGCCTGTGGGGCATGAAAAGCTCTTTGCGAACAGCTGTCATGGAAATCAGGAGACTTTAAGCGAAATATTGTAATTGTTCTGACTGCGTGATGCAATATAGAAAGGCTGTATGAACTTATGGAAGCCTCTTGTGGGCAATAAAGAGCGAATTAAGTTTAACTTCTCTTATCAAATACAATGTAAATATTTCTCGAACAAAGTATACTTTGGTAAAACAGTGTAGTGATAGTGTAGAAAACGTCGACTGTACACGCTCACAATGAATTGCAAGATTAGAACGTTAACCATTACTTTAAAGCAGGTTTTCAAGAGATATTGAATGCTATAGACGTTGAGATGAAAATTTTGAACATAAAAAAATAAATAAAATGAATCAAGAAATAAAATAAATCAATAACGACCATGGCTTTTCTTTATTTTATTGGTGAAAAAATGGTATCATTGCATAAAGCTTAAAAATATTCTTATTCTATGTCCCATATCCCTTCTAGACGTGGGTACATGGCCCTCTACAACTTCTTTTCCTTTGTAACTGTTTGTATCCTTACTAACCTTCCTAATCCCTGTCTTACCAACCATTTATACAGACACGTTAGGTAGCATACTCACTGTTTCTTTTTGTCTCACGTGTTTTCAGTATGTCATGTGGATGTCAAATTCTCCAAGCCTTCTTTCCTCATTATGCGAAATAGAAATTCCAACAGTCTCTTTCTAAGAACAAGCTTCATTTTCGTGCCTATTTTCCTTAAAAACTTCTTGTTGCTCACATATTCTGTTCGTGATAGTCTCAGCATACTTCTGTAGAACTACATCTCTCAATTACTTTGAGTATCCTGTTCATCTATGACGAAATTGGCTATCGTTCTCTGCCATATCGGAAAACTGATATTCAACCCTCATTTACGAAATTTTCTTCTTTTTTAATACTTTGCTTAGCATTTGGAAGGCATCTTTTGCAATTCTAATGCACCTTCCAATTTTATGCCCACATGTTTAAAAAAAAAGCCAAAAATTTCCATGGAACTTCCAAATTTTTTCAATTGCTTGTGACCTACTATACTAAGTGTAGTACATGTTGAAATTCCAAAATCCGAAATTCTCCAAAATCCGAAGGTTTTTAAGGTGCTGACATGAATGGAAATTTTCAGAAAGCACCGGAAAGGTTCCTAGGAGATGTGCAACTGTTATAAGTGACCTCCCCAGCTAGCTACATAGCCTATATTGGCGCCGTTTTTTTTTTTTATTAGCGATCATCACAGCTACACCTTCGTTCATGGATTACTTACCAAGTGTTTCGTGCTCAATAAAGATATTATTCAAAATGTCAAAAAGTCCGGCATTTATATATTCTTGTAAGTAGTGATCATGTTTTTGTACACGTGCAGAAAATACAAAACATTATTTTATGCGAAATCTTAATTTCACCATTTAAAAATCCGTGTAAGCATTACATGACTAGCATCATTACCTTATCTGTATGTACACAAAATTTATCAAATTTTATCTAAAACTACTTTCAGAGTATATGTCATTTATATAAAACTTCCTTAAGGTTATATGTTATTTATATAAAATTACCTTCATATATATATATATATATATATATATATATATATATATATATATATAAGCTGCGTTATGAAATGTAAAGGGATATTGTGCTTATAGTGTGAGTTGGGTTTTATTCCCAAGGTATAGATATATGTTGTGGATTCCGGGATGAAATCCGGTCTCAAATGAATGACAAACGCAGGAATGAAATATAGCAAATAAATGTATTGACGTAATAATATAATTGGTAATGCAGTTAGTAGATCCAGAAATGCGGTTAGTAGCAATAATAATATATATACAGTCTGGGAAATTCAGTATCGAAGTATGACTTCCTTCTGAGTCTACGTGCTCGCAACTGTGACTCCTACAAAGCGGTTACCTCACTTTCTCACTCTCTCACTGTATCACTCCCGGGTATTCACCGGCAGCAGTACAAGTACACACTGGGTGAATCCACTTGTATCGAAAGGGGTGGACCCCTTAACAATATATAAATTAAATAACCTGTATTCCAAAATCCGAAAAATTCGGAAAACCGAAGCACTAAGTCCTAAGAATTTCGGATAATGGATTCCGAAGCTGTAATATAAATTCTTCTTGTGATAAATACTACGTGTTCTTTAATTACAACAGATTTAAGAGTAAAAGTTTAAAAAAAAAGAGCACAAAATTTTAGGGTCCAAGAATGGTCCCCAACAGGGTCGTCCGCCTTCTCAATCCTGCGCCAAGGGTCGGTCAAAAAGTAACGCCTGTAAAAATGTAAAGCACAAAAAGCATATTAATAATGACCACGACAGTCTCAGGATTCTAGAGTTGGCCCACGTTCCAGACTCCTTCCTTCGGAATCGTAGGATCCCATCTTTCATTTTTATCAACCTTGTTGAAACTCCTTGTCGGATCTTATAGGCTTACGGCCACGTCACGTTGAAACATCAGTTCTCGTACGATCACCGAAGTTAAGCAACGTCTAGCCCGGTCAGTGCCTAGATGGGTAACTGCAAGGTTAGATGTGCGGGTGGTGCAATGGATAACGGCTCGTAATTATTAGTCAGGTTCGCTATATTCACTTACGCGCAAAGGGGAAAGGTATGAATAGTCCTCTTGTCCCCCAGCTATGGATTAATTAGTAGGACTTGTATCAGTAAATTGTTATTATCACCAATGAATTCTTACAATCCAAAATATTTTCTGGCTTTAAATAACCTGGAAATCCATAAAAGACAAATTAATCACTCATCAATCTTGTCGGATCTTAGCCAGATGTGAGATTTTAACTCATCATCTTTGAAGGAGGGTTGTACCTTGTTTCCGACATGGGCCAAAACATGAAAATCTAAGGATGCCACATTAGAGGGATGAATTAGACAACCATGTTTTATGACTGGGCGTCTGGTTATCTAGGTTTTTGGGAGTCCAGAAATTTTCAGCATGCTAAAGCACATTACTCATATTGAAATGTGATCGAACGTTAAGAATCCACGTTCTGATTTTTTGGCAATCTGTTCCCATACGGAATAGAACTGATAGCGTGCCATTGGGGATGAACTAACAGTACTCCCTACTTTTCGTTCCAACATACAGTGGCAATCATTAGCTCCCGCGGAGTGCTTTCCATGTTTTCTAAATGAGTCTTTGTGGAGCCACTTCAATGTTTTTATGGTTCATAGCGGTGAAACCAGGTCTCATTGCCTGTTTAGGAATGTGCAATCCGTGTTGGATATCTCCAAAAGCTTAGTGACAGCAACAACGCTGGAGTCTGTCAGCATTCTGAGAATCCACTTTGTACAGACCTTTGAATAATCTTGAGACTACCTTAAATTGCAAATCCGACCATGAATGCACACATTTTCACACTTTTACAATAGTATTACTTATTTTTACTGTAATGAAAACATATTTGGCTTTATTCTCGTTCAAAGTAGCAGCTGGCCTGTCACCGAGGAGCCTATCAGTAAAATCACTTGCTCGTTTTTCTCTAGGATAGACATAAATTAGATTCACTCATCTCCTTACTGTGTTTAGATTAAGTGCACTATTTCCATAAATATTTGCTTACATTCTGGAATAATGAAAAGTGCCATGGGGAAAATGGCAAGCAATAAAGATATGTCAGGAGAAAGAAAGATAGAGAGAACAGGAGAGAATGAGCGAGAGAGAGAGAGAGAGAGAGAGAGAGAGAGAGAGAGAGAGAGAGATAGCTAAAGTGATGAAAAGGCGAAAAGAGGCAAGTGATAAAAAAATGCAAGATCGAAAGTGCGGCAGATTCTTGTTCGAAAAGCAGAATTTCTATGACACGTAATTAGCGTAGCAGCCATTTTGAAAGACGATTATTCGTAGGGAAGGGATAATGCCCACTGAGTCTGAGTGCCCCGTTCATGTGGTCTTGTACTGCATTAAAGAAAATGGTTTAGCAAATATCAATATTTGTGCCCGATTGCACATGGAAGCCGAATTTGAATGCAAATAAATATCAACGTGATGTTTAGCTTTCGGTTAATTTTACCAATCGCCGGCAGCTGTTTGCCATTGCGCGGTCAGTCCGTTTTATAAGTGACTAGCAGTAGAGCCCGGCGTTGCCCGGGGATGTAACAGTAAGAGATAGATCAAGTATCGACCATCATAAAGACTGAAAAATAAAATTGACAAAGATTATTGTTTAAGGTTGACGGACACGCATGTCTTAATTAGTTTGTTTTTTTTGTTTTTTTTACGAATTGGTCAAACCCAAACTCAAACAAAAACATTGTTTTCAATCGTTATGAGTCTATCGATTGAATA